GGAAGTGGTGGGTGCTACAAGTATGGACGGCTTCAAAAGGGAATTAGATAAGCATATGGAGCAGAGGTCCATCAGTGGCTATTAGCCACAAGGTATAGCTCGGGGCTCTGGGGCAAGTGATGCTCTGTCTTCTTGGTGCTTGGGGGGGGGTCAACAGTGGGAGGGCTTCTAATGTCCTGGCCCCACTGCTGGACCTCCTGATGGCACTGGTATTTCTGGCCACTGTGTGACACAGAGTGTTGGACTGGATGGGCCTTTGGCCTGATCCAACATTGGCGTCTCTTATGTTCTTATGTTCACTTGCCCCAGAGTTCCTATCTATACCTTGTGGCTAATAGCCACTGATGGGCCTCTGCTCCATATGCCTATCTAATTCCCTTTTGAAGCCGTCCATGCTTGTAGCCGCCACCACCTCCTGTGGCAGTGAATTCCATGTGTGAATCACTCTTTGGGTGAAGACGGACTTCCTTTTATCCATTCCAACCCAACCGCTCAGTAATTTCATGGAGTGCCCACGAGTTCTTGTATTGTGAGAAAGGGAGAAAAGTACCTCATTCTCTACCTGCTCTATCCCATGCATAATCTTATAAACCTTGATCACCGTTGTTTCTCCAAGCTAAAGAGCCCAAAGCGCTTTAACCTTTCTTCATAGGGAAAGTGTTCCAACTCTTTTATCAATCTAGTTGCCCTTTTCTGCACTTTCACCAATGCTATAATATCCTGTTTGAGGTGTGGTGACCAGAACTGTACACAGTACTTCAACTTCCTCCATCATAAAATGAACTTACTGTTGAACCAAGAAATACAACAGAAAACAATATTACTTTGAAAACATAAATAAACCTAATAGGTGGCTAGCTTATAAAATTAGAAAGGAGAGGGAAAAACGTTTTATTTGTAAAGATGAGAACAATGAAGAAAGAACTTGCCCAGGAAAAATTAAGAAGATAGTGGAAATTTTTTATCAAGAACTTTACCACCAAGAATACCAGGATGATCAACAGATCAAAAAATATTTAGAAAAAGGGAACTATACTGTATTTAATGAACAACATAAAAAAATATTAAATGAGCCTTATTACAATGTGCAAGATGGTAGAAGCAATAAAGAGACAAAAAAGGAAAAAAGTGCCGGGACCTGATGGATTGCCAGTGGAACTATATCAAATTTTTGAGGAACAAATAGTGAGCCCGTTAAAAGAGTTGTTCCAAAAGATAGGAAAATCAGAAATGATACCTGAGTCCTGGAACCATGCAGCAATTACACTAATACATAAACCCAATTCAGAGGCAAACGAAATTTAAAAACTACAGGCCAATCTCTTTATTAAATGCTGACTATAAAATATTTGCTAATATCTTAGCTACAAGATTTAAAAAGGTCTTGTCCCAAACTATTCATGAAGATCAGGTGGGGTTTCTACCAAAAAGGCATATGAAGAACAACTTACGTACGATTGTCGACATTTTAGGATACTATGAGGCACATCCTGAAAAGGAAATGGTTCTAATGTCTCTCGATGCGGAGAAAGCCTTTGATAACCTGTCACGGAAGTTCTTACTACAGAAGTTAGACAAAGCAGAATGTGGTCAGTATTTTTAAACAATGATTAAAGCCATTTACAAAAAACAATACGCTAAAGTACTTCTAAATGGAGATGCTACTAACAATATAGAAATATGTAAAGGATCGAGACAGGGTTGCCCGCTATCACCTTTATTATTTATCTTTGCGTTGGAATCATTAAACAACAATATACGAAAAAACGATTACATAAAAGGGTTGAAAATAAAGGGAGAAGAATTTAAACTTTTGGCCTTCACAGACGATCTACTATTTATATTAGAGAATCCAAGAACATCCATATCTTCTTTGTTAGACGCAATAAAAATGTATGGTAATGTAGCAGGCCTCAAAATAAATTATAAGAAAATGAAGCTTATATCAAAAAATTGCCAATCAGATACTTTACGAGCAATTCAAGAACTAACGGTGATGGAATTTGTCAAAACAATTAAATACTTAGGTATAAACCTGACCAATAAAAGTAGTTCTTTAATAGGGGATAATTATTATAAACTGTTAGAAGAAATTAAGAAGGATTTGTCAAAATGGAAGGATATACCTCTATCTATTATGGGCAGAATTGCGGCAATTAAAATGAACATACTGCCTAGATTCCTATTATTGGCACAGAATATCCCTGCCTTAAGGAATCAGACGTTCTTAAAGGAATTAGATAAAATTACCAAAAAATTTGTGTGGCATCCCAAAAAAGCAAGGATAAGATGGAAAATTCTACAGGACAGGAAAGAAAAAGGGGGGATGAATGTACCAAATTGGTTCCTATACTATAAAGCGGCCGCCCTTGTTTGGATAAAGGAATGGCTTTTGTTAGAAAACAAGAGAATGTTAATACTTGAAGGGCATGACTTGTTTATGGGCTGGCATGCTTACGTACGGTAAAGATAAAATACATTGCAACTTTAATAGACACGTGATAAGAGGAGCATTAAATAAAATTTGGAATGAGATTAAGTTAAGATTTTATAGAAAAACCCCAAGGTGGGTCTCCCCACTAGAGGCGTTTATAAAACCTACACTTATTTCTCAGAATATAAAAGGTAACTACGATGCTTTATTGGAAAAAACAAACAAATTAAAAGCTGAAGATAAATTGGTACGTGAAAATAACTTATCCTGGTGGGAACATACTTTAATACGAGATAGGTACAGTAAAGATATGGTAAGAGGTTTTGATCATGATAAGAATGAACTTGATAAAATCTGGTTGTCTTCTAACGATAAATTAATTCAGAAATTATATGGTTTCTTATTGGATGATTTTGAATTAGATGAAAATATTAAAGAAGTTATGATATCATGGACAAAAGATTTGGGGGAAACTTTAGAGATAGAACAATGGTTGAAAATTTGGAAATCAACAAAATATATGAGGGCGGTAGCGTATAAAGAAAATGTTTACAAAATGTTCCACAAATGGTATTGGTCCCCCGATAAAATAGCCAAGTGTTGCAGTAATGTATCTAATATATGTTGGAAATATAAATCAAATGTGGGGACCTTTTACCACATGTGGTGGAAATGTAAGAAAGTCCAAAATTATTGGAAAATGATATGCAAAGTTATACAAGAAATCTTAGGACTGAATCTTGAATTAAGACCAGAAATTTATTTGTTAAACGTGGTACCAGATGGATATAACTCTAAAGATGCATATTTAATAGCGTATATTATAACGGCTGTCTAGAATGTTGGTGACAAAAAACTGAAAATTAGAAAAATTGCCCTCTAAAATAGACCTAACCTTAAAATTACTAGAACTTGCGCAAATGGATGATCTGAGCTTAAAACTACAGGAGAGGAATAATATGGTACAGACCAATAGATGAAAAAGGGTTTATAATTGCATAAAAAGTATGGAGGAATGAAAGACTCTGGAAATATATGCAATCTGTGATGTCGTAATGTTCGATGAAATGTAAAATAAAAAATATATATAAAAAAAGAACTGTACACAGTACTTCAAATGAGGTCGCACCATTGAGTTATACAAAAATGTTTCCAAGACTCAAGGATTAGTTTGCAATGCTTTCCTCAACCATAGATGCCCTTAGATTATGGTCGGAGGGTGTATCCAGCACACCAAGCAAGTCTCGATGAACGCTT